GAAAGAAAGAAAGAAAGAAAGAAAGAAAGAAAGAAAGAAAGAAAGAAGTCACAGGACTTGTTTCTTTTACCGTGGATATTTACATTGACATCAAACTCTCATTTTAAGTTTACCACATAACCTTCATTTTTCTCTTTTATATGCCTCCCTCTCGAAAAAGCTCGCAAAGCAAGGAGGATTGATGTGGGGAAGTGCAGCTTGGAAATCTGAAGCGATAGAAGGGTTGGGTTGGTGACCCGTGTTTGGAGTGATAAGTTTATCGGGCCTCGCCGGCTGTCAACGGTCAGCGGGCCTGTTTGGGAGGAGAGAGAACATTTCCCAGGGCAAGATAGGTCGCTCAGCCTCGGTCTTATCAACCCCGGTCTGAATTGGAGGAGCCACCCCCCCCAAACAGCTCTCCTTCCCCCCCAGGCAGATTGACAGCAGGGGGGCGAGTGAAAGAGAAATGCCAAATCTCTCCAAAACGCTTTTCTTCTTCCTTCCCCAACTTTCCCCTCCGTTTCTTCATGCCTGTCATTTTAATTAAGAATTTAGATGACAACAATAAAATCTAATACAAGAGAAGGGAAGGGAAGGGAAGGAGGAAAGAAGGAACGGAAAAGAGGAAGGGAAGGAAAAGGTGGCAAGAATAAAAGGGAAAGGAGGAAAGAAGGAATGCGAAAGGAAAGAAAGGAGGAAGGGAAGGGAAAGGTGGAAAGAACGAAAGGAAAGGAAGAAGGGAAGGGAAAGGAAAGGAGGAAGGGAAGGGAAGAAGGGAAAGGAAAGGAGGAAAGAAGGAAAGGAAAGGAAAGGAAGAAAGGAAAGGAGGAAGGGAAGGGAAAGGGGAAAGGGAGGAAAATAAAGGAGGAAAGAAGGGAAGGGGAAAAAAAAGAAAGATTCTTATTTACAATTGATCTTTTTTCCCTCTGGAATACCCCAAGGGTCTAACAATCCAATATAAGATATCACAATTTTAAAAAGCAAATAAAAAGATAATTTATGTAATGACAACTGCCTTACTGGCTGTGTTCCACAGTGACTGAACGATTATTTGCTGCCTGCTGGAGTGAAACGAAGAGGAGGAAAGGATTAGATGGAAGAGCAGTGGATGAGTTTAGGGTTTAGCCAACTGAGTGTGCTTCAATGATACGAGGGTCATATGTGGGACCCCCAAGACATGATGTACCAACAGCTTTACAAGAAAACTTTGGGTTTTTTTCCCCCCAAGATCATTTCCAAGCGAACTCACTTATCTCCTGTCCCAAATATTGCAGCTTTCATTTCATTTTTGGCTACAGCTTAAAAAGAACACAACCCCTGGCATGCTTCCTTCCTTTCTGCCCAAAGCAAATTATCTTTCAGGAGCAGGAAGTTTTAAAAAATAGCAAGAAAACCGCTGGGAACCCACAGTGGAATAAAGCTGTCCCTCAGATGATTGCATCCTCAAGCATCCCGTGGGTTCAACCTGTCAGTCATCCACTCTCAAGGCCACCGAAAAATCCTTTGGGTTCAAGAAATTGGAGTGTGCTAAAACACATCATAGTATTTGAATGTTATCGAATTTTGGTCCAAATAGTTGGAGTAGGAGACCTCTAAGGGGTCTGGAAGACCTACAAGGAACTAGAAGATGCCCAAGGGGCTGCCCCAAAGAAGAAGGAGTCAAGCTATTCTCCAAAGCACCAGAAGGCAGGACAGGAAGCAACGGGTGGAAACTCATCAAGGAGAGACGCAACCGGGAACTAAGGAGAAATTTCCTGACAGCGAGAACAATTAATCAGTGGAACGACTTGACTTCAGAAGTTGTAAATGTTCCAATACTGGAAGTTTTTAGGAAGAGATTGGACAACCATTTGTCTGAAATGTTACAAGGCTTCCTGCCTGAGCAGAGGGTTGGACTAGAAGACCTCTGTGGCCCCTTCCAACTCTTATTCTAGCAACTCTTTTTGTTGTACCCACTTTGGCCAATATAAATATTCTTGCTGACACTGTATTGGAGAACCGAGTTCTCCAAAATATATTTATTTATTTCAAAATATTTGCAGTGTATGCTTTCCACACACACACACGCCCATCTTGTACAGGTAGTCCTTGACTTACAACCATCCATTTCGTGACCATTTGAAGTCACAACGGCACTGAAAAAAGCAACTGATGGCCATTTTTTTCCACACTGACGACCGTTGCAGCCTCCCCCGTGCTCACGTGTCCAAGACGCTCGGCAACCGACTCATATTTACGATGGTCGCAGTGACCTGGGAGTCATGTGATCTCCTTCTGCAAACCAAGTCAACGGGGAAGCCACATTCACTGAACAATTGTGTCACTAGCAGAACAACTGCCGTGATTCCCTTAATATCGGTGGCAGAAAAAGCTCACAAAATGGAGGAAAACTGCCCTGTCTCGTTTAGCAACAGAAATGTTGGCCTCAGTTGTGGTCGTAAGTCAAGGAGTACCTTGTTGTAGGGCTCTCAGCCGTTTGTAACAACAATAAAACCACAAACGGAGAACAACCCTGAAAAACCAAATTACAACCAGCCACTACAATCCCCTAGGTCGCATTTTTTTTTGTAGAGAATCGGGGAAGGGAAACAACGCAATGCCGTTTTCTTTCCTTCGCAGACAGGTGTCTAAAAAGGTTGTTCTGAAATTCTCTCACTGCCTCTTTTCTCCTCTTCAGCCTGCAGAAATAAAACCCCTGTTTTATCACTTCTCAGCACCTGCCACCATTGTCCTTCGCTTTCTCCGCCTGTGGGTGATTCAGCAAAATCTTCCTGGGGCAGAAAACGAGGCTTGCAAAGCAGCAAATCACAATGACAGGCAACCAAGAGGAAGCAGAAGAATATATGGCAACAAGGGCGACTGGTTCCCTGAGTAAGAACGAGATGGGATGGGATGGAACGTTGCATTCGGTTCTCAAAAGACAGCCATCATGCGTGTACCCAACTCACCCGCCCAAATATGATAGACAAACATCAAAGTCTAGTTTGAATGTATAGGAAGGAAGGAATGATACAGAAAAGATGGAAGAAGGAAGGAAGGTTCCTCAGCTACAAAGTTGCTTCTGTTTCCATATCTATCTGGAAGGGAGGAAAGAGGGATGGAAGGAAGCAAAGAAGGAAGGAAGGCGGGATGGATGGAAGGAAGGAAGGAAGCAAACAAGGAAGGATGGAAGGAGGGAAAGAAGGAAGCAAAGAAGGAGGGAGGGGAGAGGGAGGGAAGGAAGGAATCACTATTTCTGAATAGTTTTTATCCCAGAGCTATAGTTGCACTTAACAATGAACTTAAGGACCAACCATCACTGAACTGTTGGACAGGATTACTTGATCTGCTGTGTGGATGCTTGTGTGTTTTTAGGGGGCAGGGAATTTTCGAGGGTGGGTGGGGTGTTTGGGGACTGTCGTGTGTGTGTGTGCATGTTGAACCTGGTCTCTGGGTGTTATGTGAATTTCGTTGTATGTATACTGTGTATATACGTACAAGGACAATAAATAATTCAATTCAATTCAGTTATCAATTATCAAATGCTATGGGAAGGAAGGAGGGAAGGGAGGAGGGAGAAAGAAAGAAAGAAAGAAAGAAAGAGAGAGAGAGAGAGAGGGAGGGAAGGAAGGAAGGAAGGAAGGAAGGAAAGAAAGAAAGAAAGAAAGAAAGAAAGAAAGAAAGAAAGAAAGAAAGAAAGAAAGAAAGAAAGA